TATATATATATATATATATATATATATATATATATATTCTTTTATTTTCAAATATACGTTCATTTATAGGTTGTTAGTTTAAATACGAGGACAAAGAACACTAAAAAATCATCATATTTACTATGATTAATTAGTTTCTAGAAACTTTATCTAAGCTTGATACTATAAGTCTTCATATAAAACATGTATCGACCGAATAATCTATATTGATATGTAATAATATATAATATGATTTGGAGAATCATGTATCACCGAATTCATATCCTATTTGTATGTATATTATGAATTAAACGACCAATTCCATTGCATAACACATTTTATATCACAAATAATATGTTTGTGCATTTATTTATTTTGTTGAACAATTATATTATTTCTCTTTTTTTATAATCATTCTTATAAACTCCAAATAATTGGGATATTCTCTTAAACAAATCTCTATTCAAGGTGTAATAGAATCATGAATAATGTGAATGATGAGTTCATCGATAACGATGAGAAGATAGCATATAAAAATAAACTAATACTTAGAGATAAATTAAGACCAATAATCTCAATCTCTATTTGTATATTTATCTTTTTAATTTTGTTAATTTGTTTTAAAAATACATGAATGGGGGACCAAAGCACAAAGAAGAATACAAAATAAAAGTGGATAGAGATAGAGATATTGGTAACTTAGGCCCCCACGCCACGGCATTCATAGGTCAGCTTTTGCACATCTTCAATGCCTATATTTAATATATAGTAAGATTATTATCCATATTTTAGATTCTCTTTGGTTCGGAGATGATGTTATATGGGTTTTGTATCGACGTATTTAGCATATTATATATCCATATAATAAGATAAAATAATTATCATTGAGTTATTCGTATTACACTATGATATATATATATAAAGATAAAACGGTAATATTTTTTTTTGATAATTCGAAAATTTATTAAAATTTTGGTTCCACTATATCTTGTATAGAATCGGAGAAATTCGAAGAAATTCGAGTGAATAATAAAAGTATGTTTTTGGATAACGACAATACAAAATTATGGAACAAACTATATGTTTTTATATTGGTTTTTTCTTTTATTATAATTTTATATAATATTGTTGATATTTATATACATTAAATTTCATTGATAAATTATTGTTACTATTTATCTTACCATCATCTTAAACCACTTATTACCACTAATAACATGACTTCATTAGATGAATTTCTCAACAAACCTTCACCAAAACGACTACTAATTTTTTTTTTGGTTGAAAAAAAAACGTATTCCAAAAAGTTTGGATTTACAACTCAAAATTTGAAGGAAATTACATTTCATGAATATAAACAAAATAAAAAAATAAAAAAATAAAAAAATGGAAAATGGGGTTTTGTTGATTCACACAAATCAAGTTGGGGAAATGTATAAACATGTGGAGGTTGCTTTCTATGTGCATTTTCCAATCCCCAAATGAGCTTTTAATACAGCTTTACATCCACGTCTCAACTTGGGACAAACAACATCAATCCCACACTCCAAAAAGATAAGGTTTTGTTTGAAACTATGTGCTATATATATACATACATATGTATATATATATATAGAGAGAGAGGGGGGGGAGTTTGTGGGTTACCAAGTCCACATCTTGATTTGGTTTCTTGATGCAATAATGTCCCATCCATTTGGATAAGAAAATGACTGTTGGAATATATGATTATCCGCACTTTAATTATTTTTTTAATATAAAATTTCCTTAGGAAAATGGTTATGGAATCCATTTGATATTTTCCACTTTAAAAGGAAAAAAAAAACTATTTGGAGTGGTTGTGGAATATACAAGTGATGCGTTTGAGAGATGTTGATATGTGTGAGGTGTTTTTTACATTTGTCCAAATGGAAAAATTATTACCCCAACCATTAAAAAAAATCATTACCTCAAAATAACAATTCCATGGAAAATAAAAACACAATAATGACGCAAAATCGAAATAAAAAAAATTCATGTTCGATCGATTCCAAATAAATTTGGGATTAAGGCGTTGTTGTTGTTATAGAGAAATCTAAAAAATGGAACAATAATGTGTTCCATTTTATATCTATATATATATATATATAGATATATATATATATATTGACAAAAACGAGATGCATTTGGATAGATAAAATAGTGTTTTAGGGTACATGTTACACGACGAGAGAGTTTGAATCGAAATTTAAAGTAATATTGAGATATACATTATATTTTTGTATCAATATTTTCGCTTATAAATATAATTAAATCTCTACCGATCCTTATAATATATAAATATATATAATTAGAATTATAATGTTATTATGATATGCATAATCATTAATTGTAATAAAAGGAAAAAGATATTTTCTAAGGAATCAAGTGATGACAGCAATTTAGCAAGATGCCACTTATTTTTAGTAATTTGATATAATTATTGATGCCAACTTTTTCTTTATTAAAAGATCGTTGTGAGTTTAATCATAGGCCCACCCACTCTCAAGCTGCTCAAAAGAATATCCTGATTGGTCTTTTCTTTTGATAAAATTTTTATTTACAATTCTTTTTTATGTTATCAAAAGGTTATAAACTATTATTATTTGATTAATTATATAATTATTGTTCACAAGGGTAAAATTATCAGCCTCAATTTTTTCCTTATTAAACAGTTCAAATATACATTTAGAGCTATCAAAACATTGTTTTAATTTGTTTTTAATTTTAATAATTACTTTTATTTTTATTTTTATTGTTTTAATTTGTTATTAAATTTGACATCAAAATGAAAACATTTACTAACTCTTAATGCTATGATGAGATTAATTTGGAAAGAAAAAATTTTGTGGTCCATCTATCTTTTTTTTTATAATTAGCAAATTCACTAGGCTTTCGATCCAACTAAATTTTCTAAGATCAGGAATCACTCTTTAGTCATATAATTAATTATATCATCTCTTTCTCATTAATGAAATCGAATCCAAGATATTAAAATTATTTTATCATCTCTTAACCATTGGACCAACAACTAATGGTTAACCGTTATCGTATTTTTATTTTCCGATTTGTCTTTTTTATATAAATAATACTCCCTCCGTTTAAGTTTGTAAGACGTTTTAGCATTAGACACACATATTAAGGAAAAAAATATTTTATCTAAAATACCCTTATTAATTAGTCTTATTAATGATAGAATATATTATCATTATCTTTCCCAATAAATCAACAATTTAATTTGTAAACTTGAAAAATGAAAATTATTTGGTGTTTTCAAATTTTTTTCGTAAAAATTTAAATTTGGAGCCAATTCTACAAGATTAAATTATTTAAATTTTTTGAATTTGAGCCAAAACAACAAAACCACAAATATCAAATGTCTATATATTGGATTATAACACTCACAAACAAACAAACTTTCTTCGTCTTCTTATAATATTGATTTAAATAAGATTAAAAAAAATTAAACGTATTTAATTGATGAACAATTATTAGAATATTAAAATAGAAAATTGTGTAAAATTATTATACATGTAGAATACGTATATGACTACTATTAGTAATGGGCAAATTTGGAAGAAATATTGAAAAGTATATTGGAAATAGAAAAATGTCATTTATTTTAAAACAAAAAAAAAATACTCTTAAACGACTTATAAACTTAGACGGAGGGAGTATATATCAATTTTAAATAAACCACAATATCATCTTTTTAATTTTATAGAATAAGATAAGATATATAACTAGCTTAAAAACTATTTTTTTCGATTGTATTAATTGTTTACCTACTTTGTTTTTATTTTGTTTTACAACTGGAAGCTAGGCAGACATTTGAGCACCATCCGGTTATATATAAATAATTTATTTAGTCCAAAAATAATTGGGTTCTAATTAATTGACATTAATAATGGGCCGTTATTGGGCTCACTTTGTGAGTTTTAATTTTCTTTTGTTGCTCTCTTTTCTTTAGTGTTGTCTCTTTCACATAATCACATTTATTATTGCATATCAATATTTATTAAAAAGTTTAATAATATAATGTTAAACGTCATCTGCCAGTTTTTATTGTTTTGAATAATAGTTAAAATATGGATTTTTCATATTTTATTTTGTATTTGAGTAAATGCAAAAAAAAATTCAAAGATTGAATATTATTTAAAACATCAAACTTTAAAATTACAAAAAATAAAAATATTTGCAAATACCAAAGAAGGTCAATTTGCAATATGAGTTTTGACAATTTGACTTATAAAATTTATATATGTTTTTCTCTATATATGAAAATATTATCCTAAATAGATTTGTTAATCTCGTCTCTTTCAACTTTTTTTCTTATCATTCTCAATTTCTTTTCCATTTATTTTATTTCTCTTCCGTTCATTGCCCTTATTTTTTTTACCTAATTAATATATATTGTTGCCTTTTTCTTTTCATGCAAATGTACTTAGTTTTGTAAAATGCGTAAATACAATGTGGTCTAGTAAATTATCTTCATCCGATAAACAAAATTAAAATGGAAAAACATAATATAATCATTTTTAAAATAAAATGACTAGATTAAAAAACACATCGTTTAAAATCATAAAATAAATAATGAAAATAACTTAAAATATCTAAGTGGGCTTCAAGTCCTGAAACAAAGCAGCCCATAATGTCTCCTCTTCTCTTTTGTTGTACTCAACGTACACCCTTGGGCTCGGTGTTCTTCCATTCAACGGCCCAGATAATCTCAGCCGTTCGTTGAGATTCCCATCTAACGGTCCAGAAACCACCGGACTTCTGTAAGCCAATACCAATCTCTCTTGGACGCTTCGATCCAACGGTCCAGATAGATTCATGCTCCGTTTGGCCGCCAGTTTCATCTTCTCCTGCATCCCTTGTTTCCCATCCAACGGTCCAGATTTCGCTATTCTCCTAGTCTTGATCACAGGTAATTTCTCCACCGGGATTTCAACTTTTTCTCCCTTGAATTTTTTTCCTGTTTTTTTTTTACCACAACTTGTAAAATCAGAAGTGTTTTTTCTCTTTTTCTTATTTTTATTAGAAAGATATTCGATACACATAAAAGGATTTTATAAAACAATCCAAAATATATGTAGATAAAATTTCATAAATATCCAAAACATGGATAGAAATAAAGACAAAATATAGGGATATGTAATGTAATTGAAATTTATGTCTCCAAATATTGTGATAAACGAAGATAAAAGCGATTTATGGATTGAATTATAATCTCAAAATGGCTAATCAATTTACCCGTCTAAATTACGCTCTTATTATGTCCATGACAATTTACAAACAGAAAAATATGAGCGAGTGAAAATAAAAAATTATTAAATTTAAAAGAGATTATTTTAATATCTAGAATCAACTCTCGTAAAATGTTGGTTTATGTCGTTCATTGCTCAAACTAACTTGTAAGCAATTTCTAAGAACAATGCCAAGATTTTATATATATATATATATATATGAAATACAATATTAGTAAGTATCTTTGATATTAAATTGTTTCAATTTTATTGGATGTCCAATAAATTGTAGATTTTACAAAGTAGTATTTCACAATTTTTCAAGATTTCTTTGTCCAATTTAAAAAAATCTCTTTTTTTTTTCCTACAGAAGAATAAGCACAAAAAGATTTAACAAAAAAAAATACAAAATGTGTTTTTTTTTTTGTGTTTGTGTGTGTCATTGAATGCATCATCTTTCACCTACCTGCCAAAAACGCTCCACCACTCAATGGCTCAACGCGGCGGTGATGGGCCACCACCTCCAACCGCTGCGGCTGCGTTTGCAATTGCGTTTGCGTCTGCGTCTGCGTTGGCGGCTTTGATGGCTGCAGCTTATCCTTCAATGGCTTGACCACCGCAGACCCACCGGGAAAAAGCCACTTGCCCAGCCGTTTGGCG